ATGATAAAGAATACATACAATATAAATTTGATAAAACACATAATTGTAAAAATATTATGTTCAATATATCAAAGTGTAAACTAATTTATATCTTTTCAGTGACCTTGTTATTGTATGCAAGATAAGTAATGCAATCTTACAGTAGTGGCGCGGTGATTTCCGTCACAGGCGTGAGGTCAAGTCAAGCCCAACGTGATGTGTTTAAGAAGTTACTCCGTACGTCATTCGGGCGCCAGTCCTGCACTGTTCTGGTTTTACGGAACCTCATGCAAGACTCCTGCAGCACATCCTCATCGTGCGCCACAGATAATGGCTCAAATGAGCATTAACAGAGCTGTCAGGGCATCTCGGAGTTGGCGGCCCCAGAGGTGTAGTGTCCTCGTGGCTCTCATCAGCCCGCCCCCAAAAGCATGGGTGAAAAGCTTATCAAAACTTATTAGGAACATGAGTAAAGTGCTTGCCAAACGTACAACTAAAATGACAACAGTCGGTTAAAAGTTTGTGGGGTGAAGAGAACATTGGGTTGCTGAGACTCAACCCTTGACCTAGAGATGTACCCGCAGCACAGACGAGTATCATCTCTTGTGGGTGGCGTCTCGCAGCTAGATTCTACCCATGTACATCCTCTGTCAACCCTCAGTGTCGTCGCCACCGCGCTGAGGTGCACCATGACAGCAACCATCCATCGGCCGGTTAAGCCCAAATGTCTGACAAAAATTGATCCTGCTGCACACAAGCAAGCTCGAAATTTCGACCATTATAAATCGTATTGACTGGAAAAAGTCCAAATGTCCACATCCCGAGACCCCACTCGCTCGAGTGTTGGGACCAAACAGATAAAGACATGCCTAACGCATGGTTCTCCATCCTGTCGTGCTAACAGCACGCTAAAGATGACAATCGTGCGACGAAAAAGACAGTACTTATTTGTGTGGTCACAAAAGTCCAGAACCCATGGACTGCTTCCCGTTGATCTCTGGAGGGCACAGCCCGTGTCGAGCGGGAAGCCAAATACGGTTGTGAGGTTGAGCAGTTATGTGCAGGACCTAACGATTCCTTGGGTGAGCCCAGAACCAGAGCGTTATGTGCCGGCTCTGCATTTATGGAAGTCTCCTTGGATGGCGGGGAATGCCCATGATCTGCCCCTGCCTTCCCTTGAGAGCCAACCGCTCCACACAGGGCTGTCCCAAATGGAGTACTTCGGGAGCAACACCTATGGAGAAAGGGACAAAGAGGACACCACACAAATAAGGTCACATCTCGACCCACACAAAGCAATGGCCACAGTCATCCTAGAAATAGGCCTGACGTCTTCCCCCGAAGTCGGAGTACATCTGCCCGTGAGGCAGGAAATGGCAAAAGCCAGTAAAACGGTTGTACACGCAAAACTCAGGTCCAGGTAAAAGCCAAAAGTCCAAGTGGACGATTAACCGGGACCTTCCGCCGGAATTCACAGCCGGTGAGCGAAGAGGAAGAAGAATCTTACAGTAAACAAAACTTTTCAATGTTTTTTATTTTATTTCCGTCTGTGGTTAGCACGCTGTGCTGTGGTTTACAGCTGTGATATCTACACCTTTCTGCCCAACACACAAGGTTTCAGCAAAACCATGAATTTGCCTTTTATAACATGTCGGTAATGGATAAAGTAAACAAAAATTACCTGGGCCCCCAAAAGGTATAGTTTACCAAGATAAATGTAATAAAAACTCGCCAACTTTATGCTACAGGAGTCAAACTACAACTAATGTGCTAATAATCATGATAATACAGAGATTTAGAGGAGCTATAGGAGTAGCAAGAACAGATAAAATTACAAATGAAAAAATTAGAACACTAACCGGCCTGAAACCACTCATATGGTTAACAAAAGAGCAACAGATGAGATGATCTCACCGTCTGGCAAGAATGCCGACGGTACCATCTGCCATGCCGAAGACATACATACAATGGACAGACAGTAGCATCTGCCATGCTGAAGACATACATACAATGGACAGACAGTAGCATCTGCCATGCTGAAGACATACATACAATGGACAGACAGTAGCATCTGCCATGCTGAAGACATACATACAATGGACAGACAGTAGCATCTGCCATGCTGAAGACATACATACAATGGACAGACAGTAGCATCTGCCATGCTGAAGACATACATACAATGGACAGACAGTAGCATCTGCCATGCTGAAGACATACATACAATGGACATAAAGTAGCATCTGCCATGCTGAAGACATACATACAATGGACATAAAGTAGCATCTGCCATGCCGAAGACATACATACAATGGACAGACAGTAGCATCTGCCATGCTGAAGACATACATACAATGGACAGACAGTAGCATCTGCCATGCTGAAGACATACATACAATGGACAGACAGTAGCATCTGCCATGCTGAAGACATACATACAATGGACAGACAGTAGCATCTGCCATGCTGAAGACATACATACAATGGACAGACAGTAGCATCTGCCATTCTGAAGACATACATACAATGGACAGACAGTAGCATCTGCCATGCTGAAGACATACATACAATGGACAGACAGTAGCATCTGCCATGCTGAAGACATACATACAATGGACAGACAGTAGCATCTGCCATGCCGAAGACATACAATGGACAGAAAGTAGCATCTGCCATCCTCAAGACATACATACAATGGACACACAGCTAGTTGATGGATCACGCAGAATATGGATTGATGACACCAAGAACAGCCTTCAAGTAATGAAGACCAACTTATACAATGCACCCCCTCCCCTTCCCATCTAATAAAAACATGGCTAATTAAGGGTGTTTCTTTCAAAGTACACCAGCCACAGAGGAGAGGAACCAACAGTCTGCATACAAAGTGTTTTTAAAAGCAGATGTGCATGCAAAACTCTCTGGAACAAGACCAAAGTTAATGTAATAAGTTCCCCCTTTGACAATAAGGGTCCTAGGGGCCCATTTTAGGGGGTCAACAAAACAGACCCACTGTCACCTGACAAGCCTGTCGGGAAAGTCGACTAATTAAGGATGTTTCCTTCAATGCTGAGTGCATCTGTCTGACAAGTAAGGAACCAACAGTCTGCATACAAATAAGCCAGTCTGTAAAACAGATAAACTTCAGTTCAAAACAAGAACAGTGTCCAGAACCGAATGAAGAATTAAAACTTTCCACCAGAGTTTACAGCAGATAAAAGCTGAGAAGAGGAATGTAACGAGTACCAACCTTCCTTTGTGCAACTGATTTATAGAGTTCTATTGAAGTTCCTTCTTTGTGCCTGGCCGTCAACACTGCTTCAGCCTCTTTCCGCCAAACAGCAATCAATTCATCAGTAGTCTTGCCTGCAAAAACAGTGGACATTCAGCTGTGACATCATCAAGTACTGGGGGATCCTAATGAAGCAATGATGCGCAGTACAAAACTCTTAATGTCTATTAGCCTCTCTTGCTCAAGCCTACCTCACCTTCACGTGGTGGACCCTGTTCTTCCCAGCAATCCAGTTAAAGGTTGGGGTCTCAACCCCCCAGCGGGAAACTGGATGGGACAACAGAATAGGTAGAGGCGAAAAACGAAGGGATGAGCCTACTCTCCTCGAGTATGACCACAGTCCAGCCTAGCAAAACAAGGTGCTGAAGTCGGAGGCAACCAGCCAGGAGACGCACCACAGCAATCAGGATGCCATGCACACACGCCATGTAAATATAAGGTGAACGAAAGAAGAAGAGAAGATCATCAAATACCTTGCTGACTGCCGTGGGCGATCATGCCTCTCACAATCTGTGATTTTCAACAACATGCATCAGTCCATGTACCGACACCTCTCCATGCCACGACAAAATGCTGTCAATCATTTTCTCATGCTGGATACCTCTATCTCTTGCCACAAATCTCTCCAGTGGTCTCAACATGTTCCACTTTCTCTCTTCTCATAACATGGCCTTCAAAAAATTATGACTGTCTTCCTTCTGATAAGTTGACTTCTGGCCCTCGCTCTTTCAAAACAGCTGTGTCACTCATTCTAGCTGTCCAAGGAACTATAAAACAACATATCTGAAGCCAAAGAGAATTGTCTGGCTTGTTTATAACAGCAGCAGTGTTTTCTGCACGAATATTGTACGAAGATCTATAATTCATCATGTCTTGGCAGAATAATATACAACGATTTATCAAAATTCATCTTGTCTGCATGAAGAGCATTCAATGACCTATCAATTCATCAGTATCCTATCCCTCTGTGGGTTCCCCAGCTGCATTTGGGAGAACAAAGAATGGACACCCCCGCCCCCTTTCTTTTCAATAACCATGCGACAGGAGGTGACTAAGAGTTGTTCCTTTCAAAGTCAAAGTGCATCTGTCTGAAAGACAAGTAACTAGCAGCCAAAATACAATTTACACATCTGTAAAACAGATGTGCATGCAAAACTCAATTTCTGGATCAAGACCAAAATCCAGGAGTGGTCAAACAACCAGAACTTTCTGCCGGAGTTTACAGCCGGTGAATGCAAAGAAGAATCTTGCCTGCATGAAAAACCTACACTGACCTATGAATATATCAGTAGCCTTGTCTGTATAAATCATGCACAAACAGTGATGACTCATCAGTAGTATTGTTAGCTGAGAGTTGAGTTGAGTCAAGAATTGACATCACAGCACTCAGGGCATTCCCATGTGTGCTCCGTCCTCATCTTCAGCAGCCAGCGCAGAGTTCCAATACTAATGGTACCAGTCACAATCTGGTTATATGTCCGTCTTGCTTTTCCCCTGAGTGTAGTGAACCTCTGGTTACACCCAGGTGCTCCATTCTCTCCAGGCCATAATAATCTTGTTTCTCCACTGATTCTGTTGCTTGTTCCCAATGGGCTTTGACCACATTTGCTTTGTCATTTATCAATTCACCACCCAGTGGTGCAGATTCAGCCAATCTGTCTGACTGTTCATTACCCACTACTCGAGCATAGCCTGGAGAAAAGTTCCAAAATATGCTAACTACCCGTGACCTTCCCAGTGAAGCTTGACACTCTGCTTGAAGCATCCCTGTCTTCACCTTTCTCAGTCTGTTACAATTACGACTTGTGTATATCTCTTGTTCTCTAGCCACCGGAGAGCTGCAGTTACCGCCTCCATTCTCACGCCAGATGTGAATTTATCATGTTAGCTGAGAATAATTTACAAACACCAATACATTCATCAGTAGTCTTGCCTGGAACAATCATATCTTTAGAAGTCAGCAGGAGACAGCCTGCAGAACGTCGCTCTCATCACAGTCTGCCTGAAAGAAACTCGGTCTCTCGCCAGTTCTTCCACCTCATGCACTTTCACACTCAAGGAGTCACTTATATCCCGTCTCGGAAGCCGAAATATTTTGGTCATATCAAGCGCCACGACGGACTGGAAAAAAAATAATAGCAGAAGGCATGGTACCAGGAAGGAGGGGCAGGGGCCGATCAACACGAAGATGGGCACAGGATATAAGTGACTCCTTGAGTGTGAAAGCACACGAGGCAGGAGAGCTGGCGAGAGATAAGAGTTTCTTTCAGGCAGACCGTGATGACAGCGATGTTCTGCAAAGGACCTGCTACATGATGATAACCAACAGACACTTAAATCAGTTATAAATCAACTCATGGTGTGCTCCTTGGTATGCAAACAGTTAACCTACCTACCCATGTATTCAACATCAAACTCCAGCCAAAACAATCCCTCCTTAGACAAGCCAACGCTACTGGGCTTGGTTAAGTGGTCAGGTACTTTCAAACTGCGGGCAAAACTCTCATAGCTGACAATTGGCTGACAGTCCACCTCTACTGCCCCAATACGCCACAGGCCGCCAATGGTTCGCTCAAAGCCAATGATGTTTGAGACATGGAATACTGCAACAACAAACAATATCAACAACTGATATAACTGCTGATTATGATGTCACACACATGCTTTAAGATATTACTACAGTATAATAATAAGGATTTTCATTGAATATTAAGAAAACGGAAGTAACGGTTATATCAAAGAAGAAGATAATTCCTCGTTGTGATATCTCAGTTGAAGGAAAAAGACTTAACTAAGCTAATAAACTAAAATATCTGTGAACAATCATATCATCAGACTGAAAATGTGTGGCAGAGATTAAAAGCAGAATAGGTCAAGCAAAAGCTGCATTTCAGAAAATGAAAAATATATTATGCAATAAATCGCTCTCATTTAATGACAGAAAGAGGGTGCTAAAATGTTACATAGAACCTGTTTTGCTTTATGACAGCGAATCTTGGATTTTCAATGAACAAATTAAGAAGAATTTGGAAGCAACAGAGTTGTGGTTTCTGAGACGAATGTTACAAATACCTTGGACGGCCAGAGTAACTAACAACAATTGCTTGAAAGAGGCTAATGAAAGTAGATCTCTATATATATCAATAAGAAAGAGACAAACACTGTTTTTTGGCCACATAATGAAAAAAGAGACATTGGAGAACATTGTGACAACTGGAAAGATCAGTGGGAAAAGGGGTAGAGGCAGACCAACAGAGATGATGCTGGATGGGCTAAAACGATGGCATGGAGGGATATCAACAAGAGACCTCTTCCAGTCAACCAGTGATCGTGATCTGTGGAGATGCACGAGCGCCTACGCCAGCTGGCAGGGCACATGATGATGAAGATAATAATTAAAAAATTAAAACATGGTAACAGTATTAGTTCCAGTGAGCCCCCTTTTCTTCTTCTCCGTGAACCCTGGCTGCAAACTCATATGGAAAGTTCTCATTGTTCTGGACTCTAGTCTTGTACTAAAACATTTCACAGATGTAGCTTATTTATATATATAAAGTGTTGGTCCCTTGCTTCTCAAGCAGATGCAATCCAATTTGAGTAAAACACCCCTAATTAGTCTTCTCTCACAAAATGCTTGTTAGAAGTGCAGTGGGTCTACCCCCCCCCCCCCCCCCCCACTGGGGTACCGGAACCCACAATTTTAAGACAAAACGGTAGAGATCTGTTGTTCCCCTCAAGCATGTCATACCAGGTGACTAATAATGGGTTTGCTGAGGCTGACTGTGTTGAGCTTTCAACTAAAACTGCAGATATCTCAGTCTAGCTGCACACCATAATACAACCTGCTAAATGATCTTTGAAGAATGAGCACAGAACAAGGAGAAAAGACAAGGGAATCAACTTCACTGAACTAAGTTCTATCCCATGCAGCTCAGTCTCTCTCCACAAGAACAACTGCTTGCCCACAAAGAGTGTTTCACAAAGCACAAAATCTCCTAAAACTTAGTTCCAACCCCTAGAGATATCTCAACAACAGCACAAAGTAAGTCAGAAAAATAATCCTTTAGCAATGCAGTGACTAAACGGCATGAAGAACCTATGACACAGCACCTCCAAGCGAATTAAAGTAAAAATGTCGAGATCTTGCTTCTTTTCAGTGATAACTTATAAATGTGTGTCAAAGACATGGATGTGAGTCACGGACATGGATTGAGTCACAGACATGGATGTGAGTCACGACACTTAATCACTGATGGAAAAATATGGAGCTTTTGAACTTAAATGCTACAGGAAAAATTCTAAGAATACCAAGAAAAAGAAAAAACACTGACGTCCTACATGATCTGAACATCGAGGAGAATTGGCTCATAAATAATAACCTGTCCTGAAAGTTGAGGTACTCTGACCATGTTAAACATCCTGGTGGCCTTGATTAGAGATTACTAAGGATTACCATCACAGATTCATAGGTACACATTACTACCAAAAAATAACGACTGATTATGCCTGTACTGTGTTCATTAATCAAACGTCTTCGCCCCTTGGTGTTTATTTCTTGTAGCTCCAGGTACCACTGACATGTCTAAGAGCCGTGAGACAGGGATACAGACTCGTGCCCTTTGCTGTATTCCTCTTTGTGGTTTAGTGCAGCGCACGGCATTGATAATATCGCTTCTGTCCAGCACAGGACAAGCCATAGCAACCGCAGTATCTGCTGCAAGGTAACCTGCACGCTCATTGCCTCGAACACCAGCATGACCTAGCACAATGATGAAAATCAGGACTGGAGAGAACAGTGATAGAGGGCAGTTTCTAGAAAACAAGGCAGGGCAGACACTCAAGATGCACTGGCTAATCAAGCACAAGGTGCTGAAGAACTGGCCAGAGAAAGAGAAACTTAAAAATGCGCACTGACGAAACTGATGCAAGCAACAGCTAAATCGAATATCCAAGGCCCTCAGTCAATCAATCAATCCTCATGGCGCCCAGAAGCACATAAGGCAGAGACAAACTGTCACCACTCAATTTGATCCTGAGCCATCCTCTCAATCTGCAGTTTTCCCATTCTTCTAGTATTCCCAGGGTGTCATGGTTAAAATAACAGGTGCCAGGTACTGAAAGACTTCTCAGTGGCTCAAATCATGAGACAGCTCAAAGAGACAGCTGTCCAGGCTATATTTCAAATATCCAAATGAAAACCCTCATTTAGAATATTTAAAGCATGTGTGGTTTTGGAATGTACACAATCAGATCCTTGCAGGTGATATACAATTTGTGCAGTGTGATGAGACTGTCCATGTATGCTCTAGAGAAGAAAGTGGAAGCACTTAGGACAGGGTAATTTAACTGGCGGCTGGGGGGTCAAATCTGGCCATGAGAGGCCTAGCAAGTGGCCCGCGGATCATTGACGATTGTATTGTTATAATGACCATGCTATGCTGGGGCTCTGGTCCCTGGCTCGTGACAAACCTGATTTTCACAATTTTGGCTTCAGGTAAACTTTGCTGAATAGACCTGACTTAGGATATCTGTATGTAGTGACAGTGACTGTTAGGTAAAATCAAACCAAATTCATTCTGAACATACACACATACAGAATGCATGTTCTTGCCAATTTTTATGATATTTTCCTGATTGCGATAAATTAAAAAATGTTTTTAAGGGCAAGCAGAAGAACCATTTTCAAAAATCTTCCTAAACTGATGTAATAGTGATTCAACAATTAGTTTTTAAAAAAAAATCAGAATGAATTATCAAATTGTTTGCTTTTGATCACCCATATTCTTCAGCTCTGAATCAAAAGCAAACTCCACAGTATAACCTGAGGCAAAAGATTTTAAACTGGCAGCCATAAGGCCAAAACTTTCCATTCTGATTTTTCTGAAGCATGAGACTGACAGTTAAAATCAATAATTGATCTGATTATCGAAGAAACAAAAAGCTGCTACAGTGAAAGTTATCTCAATTCCCCTTGCGGGTTCTGAAGCCTCATTTGATTAAGGGGGGGGGAGGGAGAGGAGGAAAGACCAACTGCCCCCCCCCCCCAATCACTCATAAGGATGTAATAAAATGCAACTAATTTGGGGTCCTTCCTTCAAAGTCAAGAGTACCCCTGTCTGAGGGGCAAGGAACAGACAGTTGGGGAGAGGGAATGGGGGGGGGGGGGGGACCCACCGCCCTTCCTCTCTTCACCCATAAGGATGTAATAAAATAAAACTAATTTGGGTCCTTCCTTCAAAGTCAGAGTGCCCCTGTCTGAGAGGCAAGGAACAGCCTGCATACACATAAGCTACTTTTGTAAAATAGACGCGCAAGCAAAACAAGTTCGGGAAAGAAAAAAACCAGAATAGTCTAGAAATGGATAGCACACTCAGAAACTTCCACTGGAAACTTACAGCCAATGAATGCTAAGAAGGAAAAGAACTTCTCTATTCAAAAAGGACGTTGTTACCAGATACACTTACCATTCCCGATGACTGCCTCTAATGAATGCTGGCAGCTACAAAAACTGATCTTTGGTCTAAACTAGAGGTTCTCAACCTGTGGGTCTCGACCCCTTTAGGGGTCGAATGACCCTTTCGCAAAGGTCGCCTAAGACCATCAGAAAAACACATATTCAACTGAAGTTATGAAACAGCAACGAGAATAATGTTATGGTTAGGGGTCACCACAACATGATGAACTTTATTAAAGGGTCGTGGCATTAGGAAAGTTGAGAATCACCGGTCAAAACTATTGTACCATTAACCCTACCAGACGGATGTACCGCTACTGGGGTAATTTCCTAACCTGCAGCGAAATCGGTGTACTTCATTGTCGGTACTTTGCGTACTACGTGACAACAATGTGCCACAAACTAAAAATAACTAGCCTATTGTAGTCAGACCTCGTGGTTAGTCATTATGAATTGCTGCCCACGTGCGTTTGGATTTACTTTGTGCGGTTTACCGCGAAAAAATTCTGAAAATTTGCAATGAAACAAGCGGCTGATCAACCAGGCACTTCAACAGGAAAGTGATATACGTCTAGGCTTTTCACAGTCCAACAGGTGATCAAGACTTTGATTAAGTCAGGCTCTGAGGAGTCAGAATTTCATGAAGAATACATTCCTAGTTAAAGTGACACAGTCAGTGAGAGCTCGGGAAGGGGAATCTTGAAAATTATGGATTTAAAACTAGATCGACAGTAAGAGAAGGAGGCGTGTTTCTCAAACAGAAACAACGAGTGCTCACTTTGTGAAACAAGGCCGATCTTGCTAGGCGGAATGGCACACAAAGGTGGAATATTGGCGCTAGATAAAAGGTAAACCTATTTTCTACAATGTCTCTAAGTTTCATCTTATTCTAACCACTTGTTTGCATGTAACTAATATTTGTATATATCATGTTGGTTTCTTTCGTGTTGATGCCCAGGAGCTCAGGTATAGGGGCTGGTTAGATTCATGGCCTCAGGTGGTAGGATTAACCCTCCTGGGTGCCGGGGCTCCATTTTGGGGAAAACAATAACACATCCACTGCTGAGTAACAAGCATGTCGTAACAGGTGACTAGCTACAAGTTTACATGTATCAGATTTGCTGGGATGAAAGGTTTGATATCACATCCTAGATATAAACTACAACATAACGTGCCAACCACCCTTTAACACTTCCACCCCTGCCGCCACCCTCAAATGTGTTTTAATCAACAAAATACAAAAATACTGAGAACTCAAAATCCAAACAAACAAAAAATATGAATAATATTTCATTCATAATTAAAAAAAAATAATAATAATATACAACAAATAATATAAGGAATAAAATAACAATAAAAATATTGGCTTACCAGAAAGTATTTTAGACTCTCCAGACACCTAAAATGTGAACACAAAAATTACAAATATGAAACAATAATAATAAAGTAATAAAGAAACAAAAATTAAGATTATCAAATATCATAAATAAATATTAATATTTAAAAGCAAAAAAAAAAAAATAAATATGTGAACATTTAATAAATTTAAAAAAAAATAAAGATCGTAGAACAGAAAATACTGCTTTCGCTGTAAGTTATTATTCCTGTAAATTTACTTGATTTTTGTCTAATAAAGTGTGGGTTTCAGGACCTCATTGTGGGGAAAACAAGAAAAGAGCCATTACCTCCCCAACAAGCATGTTGTAAGAGCTGACAAACTGAGGGCTTCCTTCAAAGTCAGAGTGCATCTGCTTGAGAGGCAAGGGAAACAGTCTGCATGCAGATATGCTACACCTGTAAAACGGATGTGCATGCAACACTCAAGCTCTAGAACATGACTAAAGTCCAGAAGTGGACAAACAACCAGAACTTTCTGCTAGAGTTTACAGTCGGTAAACATGCAGAAGATCTAGTGAGTGACAAGTCCTCTTCCCCTTCTAAACAACTCTTACAGTCAACCAGTAATCAGATTATGTGGCTCAGCCCATCCAAATGCTGATACACTGGCCAGAAGATGGGAATGATAGTTATCGTCCACTACCACATTTGAGAGGCAAGCATCGCTTCAGAAGTCCTGGGTAGTTAGCATCCTTTGGATATTTTCTCCAGGGTATGCAGGTATGCTGGGAAATTAACAGGCAGATAGATTAGCTGGTTCTGCACCAACTGGTGGTAAACGTGCATGACAAGCCAGAAGTCGTTAAAGGGCCCTTAGAAGCGAGTGAACAGTGTAGAGGTACAGATCATAAGTAAAAGTAAAGATCCCTTTTCACGCTCTTGGGTGCATCGGGCACATGGGAAAAGAGCCCATATTTTTTCAGACCATCCGCACTAGGTGGGTAATCTGGTCAGCATTACGCCGGCCATCTTTACTTCCCTAGGACAGCCATTTTTTTACCTATTTTAGGCTGGGTCGACCTGCGACGCCCCATACCACGATAAAAATCCACACAGCCATCAGTGGGTTTCGATCGCAGTACGTTGGAATTATGAGTTGGACTCGCAATGCCTAAGCCACGGACGCCACTGTACAGATCATTACGGTCTGAAGAGAACGGTGCAGCAAGGAGTGACCAGTGGATCTGGCCAAAGCTCAACATTCAGGGGAGGTGAGAAATGGACATACAACCAGACTGTTACTGGTACAACTGGAACTCTGCGCTTTGCCACTGAAGATGGGGACAGAGCGCTTATGGAAATATCCCGAGTGCTGTGATGCCGGTTCTTAACTCATACCAGATTAGGAGCTCCATCACTGCCCGTGGCAGGTGAGTAAAGGACCCTTTTCAGGCCAGCAGTGAAGCTTGTAGATCATGAGGTAGACCAAGAACAACAGAGTAAGATGACATCAGAGAAACTTCAGCGGTATGATGTGTTGAGGCGGCCAGAACAGCAAGTAACTGAATCTTTTTTATCGCTCGACACCCAAATTGGTAAAAAAAACGGAAGTGAATGAAGAAGAGAAAGTGAAGCATGGAGAACAGATGAAGCATCCATTAATATGCTGCCAACGGTACTTTCAAACAATGGATACAAATATAAGTTCCAGAAACGTTTCAAACCTTATCAAAAAGGCAAAAACTGCATTTACAAATGAAGTAAAGAATATTTTATGCAAAATTCCCATCATTTGATGTCAGAAAAAAATTACTGCATAATATGAAGAACAATTTTTTTTTTTTTAAACAAGTGAATTCTGGCCATTTAGTAAAGAAGTAAGAAGAATCTCTCTTGAAACAAGAGAAATTTTTGACAGAACAGTGAAAATACCTTGAATAGCCAAATATATTTTTTAAAATGGTTAGCAGTTTAAAAAAAAAAAAAAAAAAAAAAAAAATAATGATGAAAATTGTAAACTATTGTAAGGCTAAATAAATAAATCAACAATGAGTTATAATGAAAATAAACATATTTTTATAATAAAAAATAATTCAACCTAAAAAATCATCACTAAGAGTCATCTCCACTGTGAAGGCCTATTGTAGTGCTCATCACCCACCCTCTATTCTATGCCATAAAAGTGCTTCTAAAAGGACCAATTCTAACTTGTTACTTCAGAATCATCTAATGGTTGGCTGGCCAAATTGTTAGGTTGCCGTGGTCTTTTGCTGAAGATCTGAGTTTGAATCCTCAGTAACATGTTTAATTTTTTCCTATCAAAGTATGCAAGCAAACAAATTCCCTAACTTAGACAATCTTCTTAAGTGAGTCTCATATGTATATATGACTGCTGGTTCCTTGCCTCCCAGGCAGATGCACTCAGACATAGAAGGAAGCTTCTAGTTAGTCAACTCCTGTGACACGCTTTTGGGTAGGCAGTGGGTCTATTCTTATTTCCCCCCAAAATGGAACCCCAGAATCCACAGGGGACGCTTACAAGTAACCTTAAAACAGTATGCCAACCACAGAAGAAGATAAATTTAACTTTGCAATTTCATAGCAGAGTGATCAAAAAACCAATCACACAGCAGCTCTTACCGCAAAATGACCAAACAATCACATAGCAATTCTCACAGCAAAATGACCAAACAATCACATAGCAATTCTCACAGCAAAATGACCAAACAATCACATAGCAATTCTCACAGCAAAATGACCAAACAATCACATAGCAATTCTCACAGCAAAATGACCAAACAATCACATAGCAATTCTCACAGCAAAATGACCAAACAATCACATAGCAATTCTCACAGCAAAATGACCAAACAATCACATAGCAATTCTTACAGCAAAATGGCCAAACAGCCAATCACACAGCAATTCTCACAGTAAAATGACCAAACAATCACATAGCAATTCTTACAGCAAAATAACCAAACAATCACATAGCAATTCTTACAGCAAAATGGCCAAACAGCCAATCACACAGCAATTCTTACAGCAAAATGGCCAAACAGCCAATCACACAGCAGCTCTTAAAACAGAATGATGAAACAACCAGTCACACAGCAGAATGATCAAACAGCCAATCACACAGAAGCTCTTACAGCAGAATGACCAAAGAACCAATCATACAGCAGCTCTTACAGCAAAATGATCAAACAACCAAACACACAGCAGCTCTTACAGCAGAATGACCAATTTACGATAAATTCTGTCTGCTTACAAAGGAGGGGGTTGTTAGTTTTTTTATCAGAATTTATTGTAAATTTGAAGTTACCCTGGTAAGTCATGTGACTACGGTGAGCTTCAGGCGGCCATGAAACAGAGACAATGTATCGAAGAAACTACTCGCATTTCAGTTGAATTTATTCAGTTTTGTGCTTACTTTTATGTTGATGTAACTCTGTAGTAACGCACCTGATGAGATACAGCGAAATATGCCTGGCAATAAATTGTGCAATATATTGGTTGTGTCCGCATTATTTAAATTCATTACGGGAAAACAATGTTTTGAATATGAAAACTGTTTTTTTTTTTTTAAACCTTTTAGGCAGATGAACTCAAAACTTCAAAGAACACCCAATTAGTTGCCCTGTACGATACGCTTATTAGCTTATTAGGAAAACAAAGGGTCTATTCCATCACCCCCCCCCCCCCCCCCCCCAAAAAAATGTAAGGTTTTCCACACTTAAGTGACTTGCCAAAATGGATCGTTACAACAACGTCTACATTTACAGACAGACAATTAATAAGTCAATTAGTCCTGTTAGTGTTGCCCCTTTAGTTCGTCACTGAATGGGAGAGGGGGGTTGATATTCGTCTGCGGCAATGATCTGTTTTTAGCCTGATTACTGATACAATGTCGGCGTCTGTGGCTTAGGCACTGCGGACCCGTTTCATAATGCCGGGTTCTATCCTAGCTGCGAACGATTTGTCTTGCGTTGGTTTCAACAGTGGTTGAAAGCGGTGACAAACTAATGAATGTAAAATTTGCCCAGAAAAACCACAACAGTCCTAGCTGGGGTTGGTTCTGCAACGTCCTGTAAAGGATACGCAACTAATTTTTTAACTGATACAATGGCAGCATCAAATCTATGTTTATTAGTATAGAGTTCAACAGCTTTGATTTCACAAATCTATAGTAAATGGACTATATATGAAATAGTAGTTTAAAACCAGATATGTTTGTAAACAAGACATATAGGACCATTACCCAAAGGCCTACTTGGTATGTAGCCAGTAAAATAATGGAAGGAAAATAAAAAAGATAACAGAGACAAGGATTGTAGATAGGATAAGAGCTCAGCGTCTGAGAAGAAAGTTTTAAACATGTAAATACATGTGACGGCAACAATTGTCATGTAGTAATCTCATGCACTTATTATGAAAGTTGGTTTTTCAAGTTAAAAGTTACTGTTAGCCGGTCTTGCTTGCTAGTCACACATGGCATCGTCATGGCCTAAGTGAGTTTTCCGTGCCTTCCTTTTCAATAATGGGCTCTCCTTTAAACTACAGCCGGTAGACAACAGTAGACGGCCGGTTAGTCGGAGTTCTGTCCCCTGGCTGCAGTGCAATTACGGACTGGAAAAGGCACGAATCAGAAAACACGGTGAGGTCGACATGTCTGGCAGACCCCGCGCTGCGACTCAAATTAGCGACCGCGTTCAATTACCGCTTCTTGCGACGCAGTACGGAGTGGACTAGAGGGAACAAAACAAGTGACATAATTACTGTGTGTTGGCGATAGACAGCGTGCAGTGCCCTACTGTCATCATACGGTTAGGGTTAGGGTTAGGGTTAGGTTTAGGGTTTGGGTTGCTACTAAGAGTTTGTGCGAAGACGAGATGCGGCGACACTAACCGTAACCCTAACCCACACCCTAACCCAAACCGTATGATTATAGCAGGGCAGTGCACGCTGTCTATCGCCAACACACAGTAATTATGTCATTTGTTTCGTTCCCTCCTTTCGACTCCGTAATTGCAATGCAGCAAGGGGACAGAACTCCGACTAAATGGCCGTCTACTGTTGTCTTTCAGCCGTAGTTTAAAAGAGAGCCCAATAATGGAATAAAGTAATACTACTGAGGGATAGGGGGGGGGAGGGGGTCTCCATGGTGAAGGTGTTTGTCTTGCATCCCTTTGGTCAGGGGTTCATTTCACAGTGGCACTACTCAGTTCAGGAGTGTAATTTTTACGGAGATCCTTGGGGATCGTCGCCGGAGCTAATGAGGTGGTTCTTGGTAGTGGTCAACACTCTCGGCAGACTGCTAACTGTTTGGCTGAGACTGAGCCATATGGAATCAAACCTGGTCCAATGAAGTCGATCCTCTCACCGTTTCATAACAACATTGTCTGGAACGCTACATGGATGCAAGATTAAAACCTTTTTGCAGTTACGTACTGTGCACTAAAGGATAAGAATGTGAGCATTATAATATAAAGGACGTGCAACATAATTTGAGTTTGATAAGTTCAATAGACCAAGATCAAAACTACATATTGGAGAGTTTGGTGCACAGAAAAACAAGATGAAGCAGGGAGGCTAAGAAAGTACTCATACTGCATCCAAAAATACGGCACTGGACCGACCTAATAGTCATTTCACCTGAACACTAGAAGTGGAAAGAAAGACCAGCTATCCTCTGAATAACGGTCCCAAATTATCGAGGCCGAGCATATTCCCTAAGAGGGCCTCAGTCACATGTAAATCGGTGTGGAGCGGGGCTAAACTAAATGGCTGGGACTCAGGAGCAAATCAAATGAAGGAAGCTGCAGGAGATGCGGCAGCTGCTGCTCTTGAGTCCCAGTCATCTAGTTTAGCCCCGCTCCATGTGGCGCCTAGCGGCATGGGAGATACTCTCGGAGGTGGTGGTAGTTGCCGGAAGTCCGCAATTTAAGTCGCCGGAAGTCCACAATTTACATGTGACTGAGGCCTTGTTAGGGTATATTTTCAGCCTCGATAATTTGAGACCGTTATTTGGAGGACAGCCGAAAGACCTGATGAACCAGTCAACATTAACCCAGTGACAGTGTTAGAAGTAGAAGTAATATGACTACGGATATAATTTGTCACTGTCATGTTTAAGTTTATCAGTATCTATAAAGACAGCTGCAAGGGAAAAGGGGGGGGGGCACTAAATCTGGTACCTATGATACCGATAACTACCTTTTTGGGGGGGGGGGGGGGGGGGAGACACCTAAATAATTCCACAATATATAAATTTTTGGGCTCTTCTTTCAATACAGGCCAGTTGCTGGAAAGCCGCCGATTGGCTTAGTGGGAGTTCTCTCCCTTGGCTGCATTGCAAACACGGAGCGGAAAAGTCACGAATCCAAAAAGACAGTGAGGTCGACAACAGGGCTGCCAATGCTAGGGTGTTTCCCCCAGATCTGAGTGTTTATTTGACACTTCGGGGAAATCTGGTTTTTTTTTAAAGTAAATATATCCTCATTTAAAAGTGGTATTAGTTGCCCCGGATGTGACTCCTGCAGATCTGTATGACTTAATGACCGATATATTTTCGTGGTTAGGGGTAAGGTTGTGGTTAGGGGTAGGGTTAGGGTTAGGGGTAGCGGTAGGGTTAGGGGTAGCGGTAGGGTTATGGTTAGATTTGACAATTTTGTCGCAGGAGTTCCAAATAATCGCGTACAGTCACATACACACCCAAACAATCGAAGGACTGTGGATGCTACTCAAACGGACAATTCGCCACCGATTGGGCACCAGCCGCGCGCTATTCCTGTCATATTTGGGAGAATTCCAGTGGTGCCACTCCCACAAGCATCAGATTGTCGGCCATTATTTGGAACTCCTACGTCAAAATTTTCACATCTAAACCTACCCCTAACCCAAACCCTACGCAACCGTATGATGACTACGCAACCGTATGATGATAGGTAAGTATGTCATTTGATTCGTGACTTTTCCGCTCCGTGTTTGCAATGCAGCCAAGGGTTGGACCTCCCACTAAGCTGATCGGCGGGTTTCCAGCTACCGGCCTGTATTGAAAGAAGAGCCAATTTTTGTGGTATTGTTAGCAGAATAAAAACTATTCTGGAAAATGTAATTTGTAAAGAAGAAAATGCAATCAAAACTATAGAATAAATAATAACAGTGTAACAAATCAGGCAATCAGACATTTAAACGACTTGATCTACTAACTACTAGATATTAAATCGGTGCCGATGTATGATGTATCAAGTAAAGTAAAGCAAACCAAAGGGTTAGGGCTATATACAAAATTGGGCGCTTCTTTGAATCGTTCCTAAAAATGGCGGCTTTAATATGATGGCGTTCAAAAAGGAGCTAAATTGGCCATTTTCTGGCCATAAAATATCCAAAAATATCAAAATGAGGGGTCAGTTCTATTAAAAATATATGTGCCGGCTCCGAATAACGAAACAAATGCTCTGACAGGGTCTCGGCGATATGTTGCTTGCCGACCTGCTTCTGCGAGTGTGCCTTACCGCCGAGCGTATCCCCCGCACCGCTAAACTAGATGGTTGGGACTCACGAGTGGCAGCTACCGCATCTCCTGCAACTTCCTCCAATTACTGTACTCGTGAGTCCCAGGCACCTAGATACGCTCGGCGATGAGTTTAATCGCGTTTGGCGCATGCTGACAAGTCTGACATCTACCGCTGCTAAATCCTCCAATCGGAAGAACACAGTATTGCTAATCGTTTTCATCGTCTGTAATGTCTCGAAATTGATCAACGGTCGCTAATATCGTCTGCTAGTATCATCGTCGCAGAAACGCTCGAAATTTTTGTCAACAGTCAGTATTTATCGTCTGCTACTAGTACCGTGTGCAATGTTGATAGTGATTGTCAAGTAATCCTAGTTTTGCCGCGATTTGTCCCTTGGTGGACAGTCCGTATTTTAGATATATGGGAACACCGTCGTTCGGATAATTTTGGATATTTTATGGCCAGAATGTGGCATGCCGCCATTTTGGGGAATGGATCAAAGGAGTGCCCAAAATTGAAATAAATTAAAATTACGATGAGTTAAGTTTGCATAGGAGTAGTCAATTAATATCAGCAGAAAAGTTGAACTTCTTATTTTTGAGTACAGTGAGAAAGGCTTCAACGAGTGGAATAAAGTGGAACCATTTGATAGACATCACCCAAACAATCGATGTCGTAAGAAGTCTGAGATGGCGGGCTCTAAACTTACTTTGAACTTGTAGATAACTCGTGTAGCAGTGGAGTAGTCCGCCAGTAAAGTTGTTAATTTCTGCAGAAACCGGGGCAGATCCAGCCCTTCCTTCTGTGGAAGAATTGTCACAGTGACAAAAAACATCTTAATCGTTTTGGGAAACGTCGACATGTTGCCGAAAGAAGGATTTATGGCAAGTTGTTGGTTGTCTAAAGTGTAGAGCCCCAACAAATCTTGGACCAACTTAGAGAGCTACAGCAGCGCCACTGCCGGCCACAGCTTGTAGGGCGGGTACACGTCACCTAGTTGTTTCAATAGTTACATCTTTACAATTTCAGTGTTTTATAAATATGTGTTTAATATATTTGATATAATATTAAATATCTGTAATTTTCACAAGTTTACGCGTGTGATTAGGATGAGTACATTGTTCGATGTAAACATTTTACCTGTAAACAAATGTAAGCCTACTTGGCAAATTACAAGATAGAAGACGTTTCCCAGAAGGTAGTGCCCAGGTTAAACCAGGCTGCCACTGTGGCCCGCAATTTTGAATACGATTCCGTTGTAAAAGAATTATTGAATTTAGAATTTAATTTCTGTTGTTACAGTTTATATAACCCCCCCCCCCCCCATACACACACACACACACACACACACACACACACACATACGGAGACGGCTTTCTGAAAGATTAACATCAAGTGACACTGTTGCCCTAATTCTTCTTCACTTTATCTGGTTATTTCATAAAATATTTTTTTTGGGGGGGGGGGGGATAGTAACCATATCCAGTGTGCTTTTTCCAATGCCCTGTATGAGTTGGTCATCATTTCTTTAAGTCTTTGATGCCGTCGTTCCAATTTCTTCAGCCCCTTTCCTTTACTCTGCGTCCAATACATTTCTTCAACGTGGTTGCGTTCAGTTTCAAGAACCGACATCACAGCACTCGAGATAGTCTTATAAGTGCTTCGTCCTCATCCTATTCAGCTATCGAAGAGTTCCAACTCCGACGGTACAGTAGCAGTCTATCTTGTGAGTCCATCTTGTCTTTCCTCTGAGTATGGAGTGTCGGCAGATCGCCCAGGCACTGCCTGTTGCATCATTCTCTTCAGACCGTGATAATCTAATTGTGCCTCCGCACTGTTCACTTGTTCCCTAATGGCCTTGACAGCATTTAGCTTGTCATGCATCAGTTTACACCAGTGGTGTAGAATCAACCAGTCTATCTGTCGGTTCGTTTTCCAACACACAAGTATGCCCTGGAGAAATATCCAAAGGAGGCTAACTACCCTGTACCCCTAAAACAATGCGCGCCCTCTACATGTAGCATACTTTTCTTCATGTTTTTCATTTAATTAGGTAACAGAAAGTGTTTATTTATATTCATTTTTTTAGCATTCTTTGCGATTGTGTCCGCAGCTGATTCTCAAGCCAACGAAAGGCCACAGTGACCGCCTCTACCTCCGTTCTCAAACTAGATGTAATATCATATGCCACGCTTTGCTGCACTAAGCGACATTCATTCGCTTTTCCTACGAAACCCAACTCACTTCTGTTGTCTCTTAACACAGAACCATCCGTATAAATAATCACATCGACTTGGCAGGAATTGTCATGAATCAGTTGTTGAATTTCTGATTCTGCAGCGCCTGCTGGCCAGTCCCTGCGCTCCCGACCCAATGTGATGAGAACCCTACAAAGTCTGCCTGTTGCTCAGGGACTCTGATTCACTCATATTCTCCTCAAATATTGTCAAGCATGCACACATGCTTTAATGTGTTTTCTGCCTGCGCCATCCAAGATCTTCATACTTTCACTCTGTGACCCTAATCTAGAGTCTAGAGCTTCGTGCAAGATGTGTTTCTTGTCTGCAACTACTCTGAAGTAGGACCTCGTATGCAGCACTTTAAGCCTATCTGCAACAGTCGGAGGTGCAAGTGTATATCGCAAACATATTACTGGTGTATCTCGTTTACACCCCAGAATCACCCTGTAGATATTGAAGTTTCATCAGATGACTATTTGATAGGTGAACTTTCAACTTCCATAATATGTCAACGAAATGATCAAGTGCTTAAACATTTGTTAGCAACATTCTTGTTTCGATGTCCATTGCTGCCATGGTCATAAGGGCACTGAGTCCCCTTTGGCACTGTACTGCAACAGCCTACACATGCTTCTTGAAGAAGATGCGTCTATGGAATGTGATACCCCGGTACTTAAATTTGCTTTTTCTTTTAATGTTACTGTCATCAACTCTGATGCTTGGGACAGCATCTCTGTCAATACTATTGCCCATAGAACATCATAAAACAGCCACCTTTTGATTACGACAGCACCCATCTCTGCACACCAGCGAGTCACCTTGTTTATTGTTGCCTGCAGTTCTTGAGCAGTTTGTTGCCCATCGTCCCCCTGCCTATATGCAAAAAAAAAAAAAAAAAAATCATCTGAAAATATCAGTATCCTACCAACTAGGGCTGTACCGAATATTCGCTTCGTATTCGCTTCGTGACCGAATAGTGGACCTTATAACTATTCGGTATTCGGCCGAATAATTGCGGTCGGGCCGAGTGAAAAATAAACATATCAAGATTTCCCACCTTGATTCGTACTGACAAGCGTTATTTTTGTGCACAACCTACGAGCGTACCAAGTGAACGTCTGTTTAGTACAGCTGGAAATACCTTCAGTGAGACAAAAAGCTGCCCTAATGCTGACAACATGGAACGATTTTTTTTTTCAAAGCTAATGCCGCTTTCATGGATTAACTAAGCTGTCATTGACAATTTACAAGTTTAGTGACTTGTTATGAAATTAAGAATACTTTCATTCCTAGGTATTAGTTACCACAGACTGACTGGCTGAAGGATGCAAAACATGAAATCTTTTTAAATGTTTACTATTCTGTACTACATTTTCTGAATTAAAATTTTAGCGTACATTTGAAATTATGAATTTTTTTTTAGATCTATTTTATACTTGACAGTGGAAGAATTGGCATAAGTTTGAATAGTGGGAAGACAGAAGTAATGATGGTATCAAAGAAAATAATTATTCCTAAATGTGTAATAAAAGTCAATGGTTTTATTTTGGGACAAGCACAGAAATTTATGTATTTGGGCACATGGATAACAGCAGATGGAAGATGCATTACTGAAATAAAAAACAGAATAGGACAGGCAAAACTTGCATTTTATAAAATGAAGAACATCTTATGCAATATATCTTTGTCATTGAAGGTTAGAATAAGAATTCTTGCTTGCTACATACATCCAGTTTTAACATATGGCTGTAAATCCTGGACAATCGGTAGGCAGGCCAAACAATTTCTACAGGCCTCAGGGATGTGGTTTTACAGAACAATGCTTGAAAAATACTGGACAGCCAAAAAAAAAAAAAAAAAAAACAAGAGGTTTTGATAGAGGCGGGAGCCTAAAGACAACTACTCAAAGACATCGGAAGGAGACAGTCATCATTTTTCGGCCATGTTATAAGATGAGGGAAAATGGAACATGTGGTGACCACTGGAAAGATATGTTGAAGGAGGGACAGAGGAAGACAGCGAGAGAAGATTCTTGACAGTCTTGTTGCATGGCGTGGAGGTGTGTCAACACTCTTAACTAATACATGCTGCAGGAGATCGCAGATTGTGGCGAGGCATAATCGCCCATGCCAGTCGGCAAAGCACCTGATGATGATGATTCACTGTTCGTATTCGTATTCGGCCGAATAGTTGGTCCAGCTATTCGTATTCGGCCGAATAGTGAAAATCACTTTTCGGTACAGCCCTACTACCAACACCTGGAGCTTCTAGTTATGTAATCTTGCTTATATATACTTTGAAGAGCACTAGTGAGATTGAAAAAAACCCTTGTGGTAGTACCGGGGCGATATTACATGGCTCTGAGGCCCATATACCCGGACGAAGAGCAACACTACGTAAATAAAGGTCAGCTGCTGTCCAGTTCATCATCAGCCATTTACAAACATCCATTTCCATGAGGGCAGGCATCAAGACATCATGTCTGTCTATATTGTATGCCTCATCAAGATCAAGTGCTGCCACGTCTATGTCTTGTCTATTCTGGAACCCTTCGGCAAAAGAAGCCGCATTTGACCAGGTATCTTTCCCTGGCCAGTAACTTAACAAAACAGGAGCTCTTCCCTTTCCAAAAACATGTTTGCATTGGAGCAGCAATAATATTATCTAACACCCTGCCAAAAGCGTTTTGTAGTTTTAATTCTGGGTGATAATTACAAAGTTATCAGCGTGGTTTTCTGTGGCGTTCTTATCAGATGACCAAACCATTCAGGTGACCCTAGGAGCCACTATTCAGAGGCGAATTCAACAGGAGCAAATCTGGAAACCGGTTTAATCAAAAAACAGTTATATGAGGGCACACGGGGGCTCTGTGGTGCAACGGTAGCGCGTCTGACTCCAGATCAGAATGTTGTGTTCAAATCACGTCAGGGTCAACTGTATTTGAGCGAGGAATTAAGTGTGGATCTGGCAAGGAGGGACGGGTGAGAGGAAGAGATCGGCGTGTGTATAATCAGTGTGCTACGGGAACAGTTAGCATATACACCTTACGTCATTTGCTGCGGAAGACGGAGCATCTATGGGTATGCCCAGTTTGCTTTGATGTCAATTCTTAAATCAGTAATTCAGTAAGGGTATAAAACGGTTACGTAGCAACTTGTGGTCCAGTTTAGGCGGATTGTTCCTAGAAACTAGAATCAACACCGTAGTATCACTGCTTCCTAATTTATTTCTAAATCTAGTTTAATCGCCTGTATGTTTCCTTAGAATTGATATTTAAAAGTAGTGGCTGAAAATTAAATTGTGTGCGTGTGTTGGAGGGGGGGGGGGGGACAAACCTTATTAGACAAAATACATTCCACATGACTTTCAAAAATAAATCATCAACGTTAACAGACACAAGACAAAATTGTATAGGCATACACCACACAGTTGTAAAGAAAAATAAAACAAAGTTATATAGACACTTAACATAAAGTTGTATAGACATAACAACTCTGTATAGGTACAGCCACCGAAGTTTTGTAGACATATGAGAAAACTGTATAGCCATACACAACACAATTGCATAGACACACACAACAACGGTTTTTAGACACATAGCACAAAGAGTTGCACAAATACA